GAAAGATTGATGGATGTAGCCGTTACTACGTGGTAGGAAATCATAATGAATTAAAGAGAATTGAAACATTAATGTATAAGTTTGAAAATGTCCTCATAGGATGAAACCGCAGTAACGTTAGTTACAAATAAAATTGGTGAAAAACAGAATGTTTCAATTCTCTTTTCTTCATCAAGAAAGATTATGAAATCGTCTAATAATTTTTTCTGTGATTCATTTAGGAAATAATAAACTTCTTCTGTGAGATTCAGTTAGTTGGGGGCTGAACCGATGAACTCGAAAGTGATGTGCAAAGTATTCTGATGAACTTTCAAAAGTAATCAAACTTACGAAAATCATGAACATTCGGGTCTCATTATTGAATGATCAAATGCCATCAAAAAATAGTGGTCAGGATCACATCGAAATTTAGAAACTTCTTCACACATTTGACAATCTATAGAAAAGGCGACTGAGAACATCTTTTATTCAATTATTCCCTAGAAATGAAAAAACTTATGATGAAGTCCAGAAGTATTTATTCTCAATTGTCTTGAATTATTGACTTAAAATCTTCACAAAGATCTGATGTACATCAAGCACAGAAATTTCTTTCAGAAACGCAAAAGTCCATTTTTTCAAACTGGACTGTTATGGTGATGGAAAAACATTTTTTGGCTTTCGGCTTCTCCATCATCAAACGAAAAATGTGGGAAATCTTCAAAAAAAGGGGAAAGAAAATAACTACGATGATAAAAACTTTATAAAAATCACATTCGAAAAAACTGTTCTCAAAGATTCCCTATAAAATTGAAACAAATATAATTCATAGGAACGCCTCATAACGGAATATATGAAAGATTATTCATACATGGAGAAGTACCAATTCATGATGGACCTCTAGAACTTTTGAGCGAAAACCGTCGTCCTCAACTCCTCAGCAACACCTTCTTGGATAATTTTAAAGACTCATTTTTACATAAAATTATCACTATCTGTCACTTCTTCTCTTGTTACGAAGAGAGTTCGTGAAAACAGTCATATGCTTAGTTAAATTAATCTCAGCCAGAGGAATTTCGTTTAAATTGGAAAGAAACTATTTTTCACTCACAAATTATTTTTTTGGAAAGAAGGTTTCCGCTGTTCTTCGGAATTTTCCTAAAAACTAATCTGTTCTAAAGTATTCGATTTGAGATCTGCAACAATTTTGACAGGTATCAGTTCATATGTCAAATTTAGAAAAATGTGATGTACAAAGATTTTCACCCTATTCGTCGAATTAGTTCACGAGTCATTTACTCTACTACTATATATTGATAGGAGATGAAAGTGACACTCTGGATCGTTATAATTATAATTTTCCTGTACGCTTTCAAGCAAATTCGTGAAATTGCGAAGCTTCCACTGCTTTACATATTTCAGACTATGAACAGTTTCTACTCTAATGTATACAATCTCTAGATTTTTCCGGCAATTTTCACCTGCTAAAACCATAGTAACAGACCCGGCGGCATGGCCGAGGGAGAGAATATTTTTCCTTTGTGCAGGAAAGGTCGTATCGGAGCCGGCGAGCTGCACCGCTGGGGGTGCGGGAGGGCTCTTTCAGCCACCCACACCCCTCTGCGTCGTCGGTTTTATATCCCCAGTTACCCCCAGCTGAATGCTCTCCGAAGTTGTGCCGAATCATCCTGAACCCTGCAGACCTCCGGAATATCCGGCCTTACGGCCCACTCGACCGCCCACCACCGGCTCCCCTGCGGCCCATAGTAAGGGTGCGGTATTACGTAGGAGTGGAGGTCAACTTCGCAGAGTGATGGGGATATTTACTTTTTCTCCGGCCGAGAGGCTTTTTAGGCACGTATGAGACAAGTCCATTCGACCCGACTATATCTTGTTGTTGTTGTTTTAAGTACGCGGTACTTCACAAATACAGGAATTTACCAAAAGTTCGTGAAAATTTCTTATTTTTGCGAACGAAGATAATAAAGAATGGAAGAATATTCTATTGCGTTATCGGCAAACACATGATAGTGAAGTCCAGATACAATTTGTTGAGCCACCCGTCCCACCACACATATATCAATTAACTGAAATACGATCATATAGGTCCCTAGGCAGGTTGATATTCCTGTTCTGAGTCTGCGACTATGTACATCTTAACCAAAACCTTGAGTTGTTTTCGATCTATGATTGAACCAACAGTTGTCTGCTCTTAGTATTTACTCCTTCCAGAGGACCCCTTTCTTCCTTATCGGGATTAGGAAGTATAAGGTTGTTGAAGCATTCGGCCAGGGGTTATTCCCAGAATATTTCAACTTTCAGTGTCAGTCAGTAGTTTTCTCTGCTCCATATATGCCTGTTCTGGAGATAGCCAAACAAGGTTGGCTCTGTATTCACTTTTTCCGTATATTGAGGATATACTAGATGAGTCTATTCTACGTGATCCTATACCTTACTGTTGTTGTATAGGTATGGTCACTCGAAAATTAGGAACAAATATAGGATTTTACCGAAAATTTGTCGAAATTTCATTATATTTTGGAGTCAATTATTTTGGGAACTCAAGAAAATGAGAATTGTTTCATTGATATATTGTAATAAAAATAATAATAATAAAGTTTATTTGACAAATAACAGGTCAGTCAAACGTTGGCAATATACTCACGAGTGCCAGAAACTCCATAGTAGTTTCTGAGCACTGTATGTGAGAGAACATATCAAATACATATATAATTTAACAATAAGATACGTTTATAAATATATCATTATCGGAATAGATGTGTTGTTGAAATATCAACTTAGAACTCACAGGGTTATTCAAATAGAACAGAGCTTATTCAAAAATTTGAAATGAACAGTACAGTGGTAAGTTGAAATTATAAGAGATAAGTCAAATGTATAAAAAATAACTGTTATTATATTCAATTTTACTGTTATTATATTCAAAATACATATTAAAAGGTGTATTTTTCAATTATTTTTGTATTACATTTTTCACAGTAGTTCTATGTGCCAATATATAATCTTTTAACTGAAATTTTAACTTTTTCAAAGATTCCAGAGTTGAAATATTTCGCAGTGATTAATTTTTAATAACTGGTCTCAAGTAAGTTAAACTTCTCTGTTCTATTGTTTTTTTCATGTGGGGAACATGATATAAGTTATTTGTCCTGGTGTTATATCGACTTGAAGAAATATTGATTCGTGTATGATGTTTGAACATATAGAGACCTACACTAAAGAAGTATGTTTGTCTCATGTCAAAGAGTTGAAGTTGTCAGTATAGTTTCTCAGATGAATATGTACTAGGTGTATGCAGAAGCGCTTTGAAAAATTGCTTCAAAAGGTTTTTTAATCGTTGAATATGGGTTTGGAAAATTCTACCCCAAGCAAGTATAGTGTAGTTCAAATGAGGTGCCACTAGACTTTCATATGTTATTCGATCCTTTATTCCAAGAATATTCTTCGTTTGTTCGATTGATATAAAGACAAACATATAATGTGGAAGTTAGTGAATCTGCTTTTCAGACTAGGTGTTTTGCTACTTGGCATCTCTCCCAAGTCTTCGGCAAACACTGTAGCCTCATGCGTTTATTGTTTTTTTCTTCCCATCCCAACAATATTGTTTCGTGTACTAGTTTGTGAAAGTTTGTTATATTATTTTGGACACAATTTAGGTTGTCTATAAATTGTTTGTCTTCTGTGATCCAGTGTTTTTTATTCGCATGAAACATAACGACCTGTCTGTATCCCTCTGTTGCACTTCTTACAACTAAGATCTCCGTTATTCAGGAGTATTTTTAATGGACAATGTCCATTAAACAAGCACCGTGATTATTGTGAATCAATCACTGCTGTGTTCAAGCAAATCTTCAGTTCTTTCCTGAAACAGTCCCTCTATGAAAGGTATCTTGTGTGTGTTCCCAGTACTCTTTGTGTTTCATGTATCTCATTTCTTGATCTGTTCGCCTGCCATATATTTCATTACCTTAATAGCTGGTTCAGGGCCAATATAATGTACCTGATAAACCATTTGTGCGCACTCATCAGCTTTTTCGTTCCTCAGTGTTCAGGTATCCTGGACCATTCTTGATGTCACTTTTGTGTTGATCAATGACTATAATGTAGCCTGGACCTCACTTTGGACCTCGAATGGATATTCTTCGCACACTATAAGATTGCAAACACTTCCACTCGAAAGACGGATGTATATCGACCGAGCGGATAGAAATATAAATTTATCCTTGCACAATATATTTCAACTTTCGTAAAGTATAGGACTTTTAGCATGTGCTTTCGTCTATGTTCGATTTTTGGCCCGTCTGAGTACCAGGTGTTTCGCGAGCGTATCTGCACATCTGCATTGTCTCATAAGACTCAGTGTAGACAGGCATACAATCGAACGAACTGCAAATTATGCGTAGATGCGAACGTTGTACGGATCTTGAATTACATTGTCGTTTATGAGGCATTGCGTATTCGCTCGGCGCGTTGAATTGTACGCCCGTCTGCAGCGGGCGGGGAGATGTAAGGCTATTACATTCTGATGATGCTAACTTGGTGAGCGAAACGCGTTTCGAGAGGCAATAGGTATTTTTGTTGTGGTGAGGGAAAGTGTTTCCAATAGATTAATATGTGTGATTGATGACTAGTTTGTGAAAATTCATGATTACCTACCCAAACAAAAATCGTTTTGAATATATTACTGGAGTTTTTTCCCAACACCAAACCGTTATTTTAACACCTAGACACGTATTTTGATCACCAAGTGATTATCTTCATGAGATATTTAATTTTCCTCTTGAAGATGGTCACTTGGTAATCGAAATACGTGTCGGGCTGTTAAAATAACGGTTTGGTGTTGGAAAAAACTCCAGTAATATTCATTACTACACCATAGGTTCCAAACACTGCATCACGAGTAAACATCGTTTCATTAAGTCTCATTTGACATCGACAATGAAGTAAATAAAATGGTTAAATATCAATGAAGTGTACAAGGATTTTTCTTTTTTTTTCAGAATTCAACTGGAGAACCTGTCTATAGAAAAGTGGCTGTAGTAGAAAACTTCTTTGATATCATCTATAATGTCCATGTCGATTTAGAAGGACGTCCTGGAAAACATGCTGGTCAGAAAAGGACATATCGTACAGTAAGTAATTCTTTGAGTTTTATGTAACAATCCCTTTTTCAATTGGCGGTAGAAAAAGAAACGGAAAAACAGATTTTTTTTAATGATAGTTGAGTAGTATCTAAGGCTGCATACAACAGCAAATATTATTCATTACATAATTTCAAAAGCAATTTTTGGATGGGTTAAGTATCATTTTTATCCTTTTGGAGTCCAATTCTTCAAATGTAGCTAGTACATGATGTTTTACCTAGTTTTAAAACTAACTGAACGGGTTAATCACTCGAAATAAAGTCAGTCATTCTAATAATGTGTTGAACTTATCAATCACGTTGAAATGTTTTTCATGTTTTGAAACAAGTTTTGACTAACTGACTGTCAAATTTTGAAGTTGAAAATATTTGCTTGGAAACATTTGAATTGCAATTCTTGTAAATCTAGAGCAGTACAGTCTATGTATCTAATGTATCTAATTTTTTCAGTTGGAATTAGTGAAAATTAAAATTTATATGTTCGGATTTTTCATTTTAGTAGTAAACAATAAATGAAAAATTAACTTTTGCTATTGTTTTTTGGATAACTGTAAATGTGTTAATGTTTGTCCAAATGTCCAGTTGCTAGATATGACACGAACTGCCATACTTAAATACCTACAAAACAAGTTAAATAAAATATTGCTATCAATAGGGATAGATAACAGTGATGTTAATGGTATTGTGATTCTAGTTCAAGGCAAAAACTTATATCAAAGTCCAATTTCAAAGTAGTCTCTAAGAAAAATATTCTATGTTGCCAATTTTAATAGTGTCGATTCAAATTGGCTCATTTTAACTCCTTCAGAAAACAATCCAACATCCCAAAATTCTCGAACCTATGTCAATTTTTCAAGCTAATATTTTTCCAATAAATATACTAGGTAATATATATATTTAGTAATGCATCCTTATGCTTGCTCAAAAAAGGGCCCTTTTGCAAATATCACTAAATTTATTTTTGACATCTAGCCTTGATGACGTGTTCTAAATATCGAAATTCTAATATCGTGTCATCAATAGACAACATTTTCTTTAAAATATGACAGTGACGTTTATTTTTAACGCAATTGATCAAGAATACAATTTCGACAGAAACTAATGACAACGAAACGAATTGGCTACTGTTTCGAACAACCTAGGGTTAGGTTAGGTCAAAAGTATGTGGGTCTCTTCGACCCTGATATTCTGAAGATGTTGTTATTACTAGTAGCTACGAGAATCTTACGATAAGATATTCTTTATCATAATATTAACTCTGCTAAAATTACTCTTGAAGTTTACATCAGTGTCGAAACTTCTTTGGGTATTTTCACCTTCCACAATCGAAAAAAATATGAAAGGAATTTTATACAGGTGAAGAAGGGACAAACCTTTCAGTTCATTATGATAAGTTAGTGCGTTGATTCAAAGTATTTTTCTACTCCCTACTAATCAACGCGTTTGACAGCAGTGAGGTAATGGCTCATTTAGAATACACGTGTATTCTAAATTAATGGCAGCCAATTCCGTAAATTTTTTGAAATTATGAGATATGTAACATTTACTCTGATAAATATGATCTCATGAATACATTCAACTGTCTAAAAGCCAAAATCAGTGAATTTTCTCTCCAAATTCTTTGTAAAATCGAAATAAACATATTTTTAGTGAATTTATTGTTAAACAGTTTGTGGGTTGGTAATGAATCGTGTATCAACAACCATTTGTTTCAATTATGAGTTGTCATACAGTATCTGGTAAAAATTCAAAATGAGTAATAACGATCAAGAAATTTGTGCTATCTCACCAGATATTACGAAAAAAGCAAATATTACGATGAATAATTTGCTGCCAGCAAAATCAAGAGAAAAATACGAATATAATTTTGAAAATTTTATGAGTTGGAGAGAAGAAAAACATAACATCGTCTTCCGAAAACGTTTTTCTCGTTTATTTGGAAGATTCAGCAAAAACTTTGTAAGCGTCGTCATTATGGGCAATTTACTCAATGCTGAGAAGTACCCTGAATATCAAGAAAAATGTGGGTATCAGCCAATATTCCAAATTACGTGCCATTCTAAAACACAAATCTGATGGCTATAAACTGAAGAAATCGTCGACGACAAATAAATCAATTCATTAAGGAAGCTACAGATGGCAAATATTTATTCTCGAAGGTAACACAACTCCGCTTTTTTCCATCTATTAATATTTTATGAAATTTTTGCAACAATTTTCGAAATACTAACACACAACATAAAGGTTTAAACTGAATTATTCAACCTCACCACCCAACAGTCAATCATATTTCATTTGCCAGACGCCTCTAAAGCAGGGTATAGGTTATGTCGATGGGTGCACCTGACAAATTATGGAATTTTATTTTAATTTCAGGAAACGAGGCAATAAGTGATTGAAATGGGATAGAAAAAGGTGTGATGATATGGAAAAAGTTGTGTTGAATAAAAAAATATGTGAATTGCAATCGATTATATTGCTTTTAAAAGAAGGTAAAATATGACGTCATACAAACTTTGACAGGCTATATCTCGAAAACTAATAGAGTTCGACAAAAAAAAGTGTTCTGAATTCCTACCATCATCTAGTACCATCCCTGAAAATATCGCGAACATCCATGAGTATCCCATGAAGTCGATGTGTACACCTGACAAATTATGGAATTTCATTTTAATTTCAGGAAACGAGGCAATGAGTGATTGAAACGGGATGAAAAAAGGTGCGATGATATGGAAAGAGGTGTTAAATAAAAAATATGTGAATTGCAATCGTTTATTACTTTTAAAAGATAAACTTGATAAAAACTGATTTCTTCCACAAAAAATCACTTTCGTTCAATATTGTCAGAACTTGTTATGAAGTTGCAATACCTTTTTGAACTTTTGTACCTACACCCTAAATGTTTGGGTAAATATTGCAATAAAATGTTGATGATATTCTGAGAGCTCTCGAGTTAGATTTTATTTCCGCCAAACATACAAGGCGTCGCAACCATCCTCTTTGTTTCCATTTGATCTGTCAAACAGAGTCGCGAAACGTGTTGTCAGATAAAGCGGCCCAGAAGACTGACCACCGCACAATACCAAAAAAGCCATTTGAATGTTTATTTTATTGTATTTACTTTTCTCTCGCAGATAACGGAGACGTACGCGTTCCTGCCGCGAGAAGCCGTCACTCGTTTCCTGCTGGGCTGTACGGAATGTCAGAAGCATCCTCGGTCGCCGTCGCCCACGTCAGTGTTGCCGACCCCCAGTCCGAGTCCCACCCTGCCCCCGGCGGCGGTACATCAAACAGGGACTGCAAATTCCCAAGCCGCCCCTCAAGTGCCGGCGATGCCTATTGCGTGTCACGTCCAACAGGAGGGCAGCGGGTATTACGGGGCGAAGAACGGAGGTAAGTGCACGGGGAGGCGAGGGGTTCGTCACGCCGATCGTGATTAAAAGTTTCGGGATCCGAAAAAAGTGTCGCTCTCTGATTTCTGCGATGCGATGAAAGATGAAATATGAAATTTTCCTTGAGAATCGATAAAAATATATCTCTCAAAATGCCAAACATATGTATTTTCTTTCTATTTTACTCTATCAGTAGAGGATTTCAAGATTGATCTTTACCAATTTGATAACCAGATTTTAACAAATAAAATATATATGTGAACGTGTACTAATAAGGTTGCAGTAAAAAAATGTTTATGACTATGATTCATTATTATTATATTATAAAACATAATTATTTCTTTAAATTTGACTGTCTTGGTTGTCAAACAATTCATAGTCTTATCGGAAGTATACAGCATACACAATATGCAGTTGATCGGTAGCTTACCTTTCTCTGTTCCCTATTAACTGGTAGCCGCGTACAAATAAGTAAATTGTTTTTAGTAATTGCGCTCATTTGCTTACCACTTGATGAATATGGAAATGCACCCGGAGAGAAATGTAAGTCACTTGTACATTCGCCCACTAGTAGTAAAATTTGAAGAAACTGGTACTGTAACAAATAAAAAAGGAGTCAAACAAAATTACTGGACGAAACAATGCATATTGAAGTATTTCGACAGTTTGCAATGAATCATACTTTATCGACTAGTCAGGCAGCTACAGCAGCCAGATTATTCCGCGAATCTGTAAGGAAAGTACTTAAATTACATAAATTTCATCTAAATTAAATTAAAATCTTTCAAGAACTTGGTGACGATGACCCCGACACAAAAATTTGAGATTTGTGAAATCATGACAGCTAGAATTATCGCAGAACCTCGGCTCATAATAGCTATTTATGATATGAGTGGTAAAAATAAGGTTTTATTTTGTGAGTCACGGACAAAATAAAACTTACTTTTAACACAAATATCATACAAAGTTTTTTGTACAATTGTCTTGTTTTCATAATAAAATAGATAAATTTAATATTTCTTCTAAAACATATTTTGACATCTCTTGACAGTTAACAATTTCCATGTTATCGCATTTGCTGTGAAGTGGCCGTGTCAGGTGACGCCGAATTACCTGGTTACCAACAAACAGTATTGTTTACAGCTCAAGCGTTTTATTTAAAATCACATTTAAAGTTCTTGCTGGTGTTAAATGTCTTGCATAATGAAGAACAATAGTAAGGGATTGTGTGTTCTTAACGGTATTGAAAAGGCTGCAAAAAGAGCTTCAATTGAATTGTTACCAAAAAAATCGACTAAGCAGTACGACATTGCATATTCTAATTTTCTTAGCTGGTGTAGATTTGAAAACGTCGAAGTAAATTTCAGTGAAACCGTTTTATTAGCCTATCTAGAAGAGAATTCAAAAATATGGTCCAGAGGTTTATAAATGAGGCGCCAGATGAAAAATATTTGATGATAAAAGTTGCTACTATTTTCGGAATATATGGAGCCTGCTGGCGTGGAGTGCTGTGCCATAAATTAATGGATAAATCATTGATTGTTCAAATTACAAATACAAAAAAGAAAATAGGTCGTTCTTTTTGTATTGTTGGAAAAACATTGACAATTTTAATAAATACGCTGCATTACGCATCAACGTTTTTTTCTGAAATACTAGTTGGAAAATGCTCTCTACCATTGCTGAGTTTCTGAAGCTCCTGGAACCAAAAGAATATACAGGTCACTGTTTCAGAAGGTCTTGTTTCTTTGCTATCAGAATCAGGAGCAAATATAACAGAAGAGAAAGATAATCCCAACAGCTAGCTCCAGCGTAACAGCAAGAATTAAATGTTGATGCCTATGAAATTGTCAACTCACCTAGTTCAAATATATTACAAGGCTCTTCAACATCGCAAGGTATCAATATCAGCAGTTGCTCTAATTGTACTTTTCATATTAATGTTCATAAATAATAATAATACTAATGTATATAATACATTTGTAACAGAATTCAATTGTATATACATCTATTGTTCATAATAAAACTTCCTTGAAAATTGAATAATGTTTTGTTTATTGCTATTTAGTAGAAAAAAAAATCATGATAAAAATATTTTCAACACGCTGCTTTGTAAACATTATCTTTTAATATTCTTGACAACCATTAAAAATGTCACTTTTAATAACTGTTGTACAAAAAAAAAATATTTGATTTAGTGACGCGTACTTTTTCACCTAAATGGGCACGCAAATAAACAAAACCGTCGTTACTGGAGTGACGAGAACTCACGACTATTTAGAGAAGGGCATACGCAATATTCCGAAAAAGTTAACGTTTGGGCTGGTATATTGGGAGTTGCAATTTTATTGGTCCATTATTTATATAAGGAAATTTGAATGGCGAAATGTATGCTCACATGATAGAAAGATCTATTGAACCTCGGATAGTTCATGAATTAGAAAATCAGAGAAATGTATTACATTTTCAACAGGATGGCACCATTAGTACCAAATAGACAATTGTTAGAGAATAATTATGCTAATCAATCAACCGATTGGATGAAGAGGTCCTATTGAATGGCCTCTTATACCCCCGGACCTATCTCCTTTCAATTTATTCCTCTGGGGCCACCTTAAATCTGTTGTTTTTGAGACGCAACCTGACTCAATAGAGTAACTGATGAAAATAATAATCCAAGAATTCCGAGCATATAAATATTTAAGTTAAATAAAAACTTGTAATTAATTGTAATATCTCTTATCTATTTCCTTGTGATGCGCCAAAACTCTCATTGTTGAAAATGTTCGCTTTGTTAATTTTGATCCGTCGCCGACAACAAGCATATCGCAAATCAGCAGACATGCATGTATTATCGATCCATGCATTATCCTAATCATTTTATGACAAAACCTTCCGCGGTGTTCATTACGCGACATAAAATAAGTCTTCGCCACCTGCGATAACCAAACAATGGCCATGAACGCCGAGAATTTCATGAACATATTGGAAATACGTATCGAGCCGTGCGAAGGACGCGCATTATGAATCCCTTCTGTTGGAGGTGTAATCCGATTTTAAGCTACTTTCCATTTAATGTAAACGGTTTCACCCAGATGACTTTTCTATTTTATCCACCGGCGAATATGTTTCATGTGAAATAATCCTGTATTCTCTAATCCCTTTACCCTGATGGGGATATCTAAAAATGTTTAATGAAGCTATTAGTCTGTTTGAAGGTGATTGACAATGTTTCACGATGAATTTCACTAATTCGGACTTCCATTGTCTAATATACATATAAAATGATCATTGTTACACGTTCTGGAGGTCATACAAAATACCGTATTAAAAATAATTTTTAAGAAAAACAGAAGGTACTCAACTGAAGACCTTTACAAAGAATAATAAACAGCTTATACTTACGATTTACAACTCACTCGCTGAATCTTTATTGAGGTACTGTATCATTATATGGGGTGGTCTCAGTAAAACATTGTTACACGTTCTAGAGGTCATACAAAATACCGTATTAAAAATAATTTTTAAGAAAAATAGAAGGTACTCAACTGAAGACCTTTACAAAGAAACTGGGCAAGAAAACTATATACCTATTGATGCTTTATATGGATGCAAAATACCTTCATCTCTCAGATAAGTCATACTCACAACACACGAACCAAATCTGAGCAGAAAACAAATTTTTCCCTGTGTAGACTAACACACACACACAGAAATTTATATCATATTTTGGTCCAAAATTGTTAAACCTAGTCCCTATAAAAATCAGAGTCATTTCTAATAAACGGTAAATGAAATCAAAACTGGAAGAATATGTGAACCAAAATTATAACAAACTGAAAACCGTATACGAACTTGAATAATAATAAGAAATACAAAATAGCTATTTCAGGAGGGCTTTCTTCCAGTTTGTGTCTGAAAGTTGCTTCTTTGCATGATCTACACATCCATGTATACAGCGACTTATTTTCAAATTGATTACTTCCTTCCTTTCTTTGGAAGATTTCCACATTTTTTTGTATCAAGATGGAGTAGTAGAAAGCCAAACATTTTCTTTCCCAAAAAATACAATAAATAAATCAAGTAGAATCCAAACAAAATAGATCGGTTATAGACGAGATTGAAAGAAATTCAAGCAAATTGCTATGAATACACGTGTGCAGGGTGTGCACTATATGACTTATTTGAAAGAATTATTAGATATAATGAATGTACTGTTTCAACGCTATATTCTTGGTTGTTCGGCCGTGGTCAGCAGGTTTTAATGCCTGACGTTTCGTCTACCACTGAGGTAGACATTAACGCTTGAAGTGCTCGAGTTGCAAAAACTACAAATAAGCTACCCAGATTTTATTAATGTTCATTGCCTCTTCTTTTCTATTGTTTGTCGGATTGTCCAAGGTGACAATTTCTCTTGTGTTCGGAGAGACGGGTACCTATACTTCTTATCGTGATTCCTATGTAGACCGACCCGCAACTCCAAGGAATCCGGTATTCCCCGGGTGTTGCTAAAGGTTCTCTGAGGTCTTTAGCTGACCTCAGACTTCCTGTGATAGTTTTCGTTAGCCCAAATATTGGTTTCACAGCGTGTTTTTCAAAGATTCTTCCAATTAGGTCTGTTACATTTTTTAACGTAGGAAAGAAAATCTTTTCCCTTGACTAGTCTAGCTAGGGTTTCTTTGGCGACCTCTCTCCTGGGTCGTATGGCCCGTTCGAATTCTCCTTCGCTGTACCCATTTCCTTTGTAGACATTTTTTTGATGATTCTAATAGTGAAAAGGAATAAATGCTCATTATAAACGCAAAACGCTAACAGGGTGCTGCTCAAACACAAGTTTTGTGGTTTCATCATGAATTGCCACAGTTTGTATAGGAGGATTTATGCTATTTTACCGGGTACATTATATTTTTGTATCGCAAACAAAATATTTTTTGAGTGTTCGAGTCGTTTTCTACCTTCAGTGGCGAGCGTTTGGGTATTTATATACAATTATTATCGATATTGCATTTTGAATTAAAAAAATATTCACAAAATGAATATGTATGTTCATTATGATGTGTTATCACCAGATAAATCAGTATTTTGACATCTTTTATTTTAAATATCGTGTTTCTTGTTGTACCAAAGCCTTTCACTTGAGCTCAAACGAGTTCTATTGGAGTATGTTCGCAATGATATGGTGGCAGACGCATAAGGTGCAAGAGAAAGAATGACCTCTGTTTAATCTTGTATCCTATTGACAAATTTGTATTTTGTTTTTCTCCATATTGTATCATGTTATTTCAGCTGTCAATAAATTCATTTATTATTATTATAATAAAAGATCTTTTCTATCTTTAAATTGAAATAAAACAAAGCATATGTGAGATATCATCTGATTTTTTTTATTCATTTCAAAGGCCCATTGATGCCATTATGTGTGAATAATAACATCGTCCAAATGTCCGCCACGGCTTGCTTCTCTTGGTAGAGCACATCAGAAATGTAGAATTTTCCATGACTCTGGCGTATAACTCATGCTGAATTTGATTGATGGCATGGGTTATGTTGGCTTTGAGGACGGCTATGGTTTGTAACTTATTCGCATACACCTGCGACTTAAGAAAACCCCACAAGAAAAAGTCTAACGGGGTCAAATCGTACGATCTCGATGGCCAGTTCACATCACCTCCACGTGAGATGACTATGCCCTCAAATTGCTCATGCAGAATATCCAATGTGGCACGTAATACCGTTCTGTTGAAATCACATTTCGTTGGTGTCTAGATCATCCAATTCAGGCCAAAAGAAGTTGGTAATCAGTGATGGCCTGGTCAACGTCGTTCTCCAAGAAATATGGACCGACGACGCCACCAGCCCAAAATACACACCAAACAGTGACATTTTTGGGATGCATTCGATGTTCTTGGACTTCATGTAGAGTCGTATTGTCCCAAATTCGTCAATTTTGTTTGTTCACGTATACCCATGCATCCAGAAATGGGCACCATCGCTGAAGATGATATTTCTATGAAAATTGGGGTCAGTTACCAACTGCTCCAGAACCCATTCAGCGAACAAACGTCTTTGTCTATGGTAGTTTACCTTTAATTCCTGGGTCAGTTGAATTCTATACGGGTGCAGAAATCACGACGCAAGATTTAGTTGTGGTCTGCGAAAGGCCGAAGTCTTGTGACCGACCCGAAATCGACTGCTTCGGTTTATCCTGCACACCCTCACAGACAGCGGCAATGTTTTCAGCAGATCTTGCGTTTCGTCGACGTACGGATATTGGTCGATCCACATTGCAAATAGTTCTGTTGGTAGGACGATTATGGCCACCGTAAAATGAGCAAAGCGCGCGGTACATTGCCCGAATAAACACTCATTTTGATAAAACAATGTTATTATTTGCACTTAATGAATGTTATATTGCTGATTTGAAAAAACAGGCAGAATAAATGGCAACTAATTTGACAGATGTAGCTTCAATATCGTGGCCGATATGAATTGTCAAAGTTCGGAAGTTCCTGTTGGACATTTCGTTCCTGAGCTTTCTGGTCGAATACATATTCTAAAAAATGAGCTTTATTTGAACATACTAAGGCCGATATTATTAGAAAAATTGTCTTGGAAATATGTATACCAGACAATTATTATTGTACCTACTACACATATTTCCAGATTATAACGATTTTTCAAAGTCAAGGATATGGAGTAGCTATCTCAGATTATACAAACATTTTAAAATGAATCATGAACCGTCGTGTATCAGTGTATGTTTACAAAAATGAGGTTAAATGTATCCGAATTGACTTGGTTTGTCTTCCATATCAATATGATGTGTTTATGGTTTTGAAAATTGTCATTTTCACTGTCCTTTGTTTTCTAGTTAGATATTTCAGAGAGTGAAACAAAAATGGACAGACATAGTAGATATTTGGAAAAAATCAAATCACTATGGCTCACATTCTTATATTAATTTATATTCTTTCTTTTTCCAGCTGTAGACCGAGCTTGTCTGAGTCCCCCAACTGACCAACCCCCCTCGCAACATGACAGACCTCAAACGCCGCCTAAAAGAGAAGGTCCTTTGAAAACCAGTACTCCTGACTCCACCAAAAGATCAAGTAACCCCCTCGACGTCTGCAACTTGACCTCCCGCGACCCTCCGAAAAGTCCATCCAAAAAACGCCCCTACGAGGCCGCTCCTAAACTCTGGTCCCCCGTGGAAACAATCGAAAACGATGAACCGCAGAGGAAGAGGGTCCTTCTCGGAGGTGACATCGATTACTCTCTGCCGATCACCACCACGTACCTGAAGTATATGAGGAGTTTGGGATGTCGAGACGAGGACGCGTTCAAATTTGAGAACAAGCACGTGAGTTTTGTCATTGAACGTTTTATGCATGAGGCGATTTCGCATTATTTTCATTGATGTTTTCGTTCAATATTGATGAAACTGCGACTACTTTGGAGGTTTCATTCAAACTGTCGAATTTCTCTGCACTTAGTTCAGAGTTAGAGCTTTCTCAATTAAAAAAAACCTAAATAAATGTGATGAAATATCCCAACAGAGTGCTTCAACAGAAAAAGCGTTCTTTTCAAATATCTTGAAGAGTATTTTTGAAATTTGAAATAGACAAAAAGTAATCAGCATTTCGTGAAAGATCACATATGATATTGATTCATAAAAGTTACATTCAAGTTACATAAAAGTTACATTCAAGTTACAAAATAATTGAAATCGTGGGAAGATGTTTTAACGTGCGCTAGTGGCTTTTTTTCCGAAAGTTGTATCCCGAGTGCACCGAGTTGAATCAGTTGAAATGTGTCCCAATGCATAATTTTCGAAATATTGCTAAGCAAATGACTTGAGTTTATAATAATTACAATTTAAATCAATTAAGTTCAAGATAAACTCTTTGAAAAGATGTGAAGATTATGCATAGACGTTACTTTCAGAGACACACTGGAAGGAAATATCCTCCCGAACCAACTACTTCTCTATGAATATTGAATAACAAGACAGAAAAAATACCTTCGAAACTAGTACTTTAATGTGAACATGTAATTATACAAAAACACTTTTTGTTATTCACTTTGTACTCCAAAAATTCATTGTGGAATTGAGTCAGATATCATTCATAGAAACATTAAAATATATGAAAGAGTTACAATTCGAAATGTCATTTACACGGAACACTACCATCCTCAATGGCGGACTTCGAAGTTTCGGAATGAGACACTTGTCTTATCACCTCATCAGCACCGTTCTGGATAATATAACAAAATGGAGTATTGATTTAATTCACTCTATTCATTCATAAAATTACGACGGATGAGACAAATCCACTCATGTCAAGGTGTCAGTACTTGAAGACATCCATTTATACTCTTATTTTATTTCGAAACTTCGAATTCCACCATTGAGGATTATATTGTTCCATGTAAGTGACATTTAAAATCGTGACTCTTTCATATACTATATTGTTCATATGAATGATATCTGATTCTAGGTTCTATTCCATAACGAATGTTTGGAGTACGAACTGAATGGGAAAAAGTAATTATCTTATATTTTGATGATTATATGGGCTCTTTCTTCTAGTTTGTATCTGAAAGTAACTTCTAAGCATTACCTACACATCTGCTTAGAAGCGAAATTTTGAAATTATGATCGATTAAACGTGGTATGGAAAAATATATGTTTAGATCATTTTCAGAAAAAGTCATGTGAAGAAAGTGAGACAATTCTTATTCTATGTGAAAAAACTAACACACAGACCTTCTTCTTCTTCTTTATTATTTTTTTTTTAGAAAATCCGTGCATAAACATGACTGAAAAATCGAATGCTTTCAAAAAATTATATTTAGAATGAGGCACAATAGTCATTGTCTCTTCAGGATATTTGAGATGATTTTTTTTCACTTTTGAACGTTTTTTTGGCGAATCATAGTCATACTGATTTAGGGTTTACCCTTCTTGAAGTTAACACAAATATAATTTGACACGACACTTTACTACTGTTCAATGAAAATATGCATGAACATTAATTTTGGTATGGATACTCAAAAAATATTAGCTATTGCAAAATTGCTTCCTGTATGCGGTTTAGAATAATCATTCAATAAAAAAATTGCCAATTCAGAAACTTCGAACTCAACTGAATGAAATTTATCGTTATTAATTTCAAAATCAATAAATTAATCAGTCCTTGATGATCATATTGTGGAATGCTTCATATTTTTTATCAGATTATATATTTTGTAGAATATTTATTGCTCTCACATACTTACATTGAATTTACATGTTAATACTTTGTTACTACTTGCATTAGATGTAGGAAATTGTTATAATTATACCAAAGTTGAAAATATAGGTTTTATTCAGAAATTACTGATGAATATGAATACTTGATACTCCATTATTTTCAATAATGGAGTATGTTCCTTCTGATTATTTCGCATGAGGTATGTTGCTTGTTGACATTTCCACCCATCTAATCCTCATCTATTATTTTTTTATAAATAATATACACTAAAACTCCAACATCATACTTAAATGATTGAGTGGTATGAAAAAATTATGAACCAGTTTATTTGAAAGAATTAAAGAATGGAAATTCTCAATGTGAAGTGAAAGTTTTTGTTTGTGGTTCTAAAGATTTCCTCCGATTTCAAATGAGTGACTCATTATGTCGCGCTATTTGTATGTGATAAATGTGAAAATAAAATAGTGCTATATCGTCATCTGTTGAATATTGAGTTCATTAGTAACTGAAGGTAAGTTCTCGATTATCTTTATAAATATGATAGATTTTGTATAAAGCAAAAGAACAGTAGTAAGATCTAAGCTGATTAGTTAAGGGTTATTTCAGTATCGTTTTGAACTGTAATGATTATTGAAAGTACGTGAAAATTGTCAATATGTACTTTTTCGTTTTGAGTTCAATGATCTAGTCTCTACTCTTGATTTTCTATTACTTAGGCTGTTATTATTAGATATTGATGCAATAATTATCTAAATGGATGACATATTTCAATAAAAAGTGAACCTAAAAGGAACTGAATTTATGGATTCAAATAATTAATTTTTCCAACAGATTTCGAAAATTTAATTCGGTGATAGAACAAATAATATCACTCTTATCACTAATCCCATTTATGTTTTTTTCTCTCGACTTTACTTCTCATTTCAATGCTAGGAATCGTACGTTAAAAGGCAAGACCTCTGCACTTCTCAGCTTGCTAAACTTTCGACTCTTAAGGGTTGTCATTTATAGTGAGGCGATAGCTGAGCAACGGAAAAACAGGTTTGAATTTGAATTCGTCATTCGTTACTACAGAATTTTAATGTGTTCTGATAGTAACGATCTTGCAGTTGTATATTATTGATATATTATCATGTTCATTCTCGGGCATTCTTGATGTGTGTTTATGAATTTTAGTTTTTTTATTTTGTTTTGCATATTGTTCTAACATTATATCTATTGCCAAATTAATTCATTCTTTTCTGGTAAAAGGTGATGTTTGTAATTGTTGGATTCATATTGGTGTTTGTGGAGTAGAACTAGGTATATTTCTGGTTTCTCCTGTGTGTTTTTTACATTTCTGAGGAATATCAATCAATCAATCTTACAAATCTGTAAGGTTGGGTTATATCATCATGCTTTACAGAAAACTGCCCAGGCGAAGCTTTCTGGCTTACAGAGTAATGCTTGGACCATCAGTGGTGCCATCAGTACCAAACCGTCAGCGACAATGGAGATCCTTCTAGATCTACCTCCTCTTCACATTTTTCTGGAGAGAAAGGCTAGGTGGACTGCCTACACACTTGTGCACATTGCCAATTGCACAAATCAATTCAATGCAGAGTGCCACAGATTGTTGGTTGACACTGGAAGTCACAGTATTCTGGTAATGACCTCTGACTTTATGCCTCCAACTGTCAACTACGAACTGCCTTATAAAGTACTATTCCCGAGTAGAGAGAACTGAATCCTCCGGGAGAAGGAAATACTAAAAACAGATAGTTGTTGGTTCACAGATGGATCAAAAACACCTTCCAGTTCTGGTGCAGGTGTTTTCAGTCACAGATGTAGGACAGAGATATCAACCTGCCTATGCGACTGTATTTCAAGCGGAAATTTACGCTATTGGAGAGAGATTGGAGAGATTGGAAGAATACAACGTCATACACAAGTCAATAAAAATATTCTCGAACAGTCAAGCGGCGATGAACGCTGTTAGCAGCTACCGAGCAACGTCTCAATTGGTAGCAAATTGCCAAAAACGACTCTCTCCGATAGGAAGACTTAACAGATTGTCTCTCGTCTGGATTCCTGGCCATACTGGCCTGGAAGGCAATGAGGCTGCTGACTGCTGACTCCCCTGCAAACAAAGGTGCTGCAAGCAGCTTCATCGGACCGGAACCTGTCATTGACATCGCTTTAGGCTTTGCCAAACAAAGATTGAACACCTAGATATAAATAAGATTCATGGACTTCTGGCAGAATCTTCCAGGATTGGCTCACCCCTAGGCGTTTCTTCACCCTTCGAAGCTTGATACCAAACAGTTGTTAGACTACAGTAGGGACCGTCTTCCAGGATCGGCTCACGCACAGTCATTAGAATCATCATACGCAGGGACTTGGACTGTCGGAAGACAGTGTGTGTCGTCTCTGTTTAGAAAATGATGAAACAGCAGAGCACATACTTTGTGCCTGCCTCGCTGGGGACCGAATCAGGTTTTTGGAGTTCGTCAGAGCCGTACTCTTACCATCTGACCTGAAAGACCACTCACCATACAAACTAATCGGATTCGTTAGGAAGCCAGGTTTATTTGGTCGAGTGTGAATAGGTGTGAGCCACAATAAACCCTTGCGGGTTGCGGTGGAGGGTCGAATATACCCATTCACTATGAACCTAATCTAACCTAGATCATTTTGTCACATACAAAATGTAAAACCTATTTAAAATCAATAACATAATAACACAGTAGAACTGTGTTATTATGATCATAAATTTTCATTCATATGTTTCTCATTTTTAACTCAAATTGTTGTCTAAGCATTCTCCAACTTTTTCAGATTCGTGTATATTTACGATGATCATTTTCATTTGATACTTCCTTGATATCGCGAACTGAATAACATAGAAAACTTTCATGTGCCGTTTAATCCGACATAACAAGTTAATCCATTCATCCAACGAAGCCAGACAAAAAAATCCTTCGATGGCCTTAAATACCCTGCCGGAGCATTGCGGTGAAAAATTCGTTTCCATCACTCGTTTGATATATCACGAATTCTTGTCCTCGAGGCCTTTCCAGTCATTTCTCTCCTTCGCCAAAGACAGACGGTTGTCGCCGACAAACTTTCCATTCGAGGGAAAACTACAAGATTTTCTCTCGTCCATTCTCCCCTCGCTACCCGCCGTCCTTCAGCCTTCACATTCTAAAGGAGCTTATCCCGACGAGAGATCCATCGCTCATGATTCATCCTTTTTAGGCCCGCCGGACCTTTCTCATCCTCTTAGAGCGGTCCCTCCTACCGCCCAATCTCTCTCCTCGTATATCCTTTTGTCCTTTCGGCTCTATCTGCCAGCAGTACGGTCCAACATTTATTAACGACCCTTTCGCTCGAAACTACCGGCATACCCGTGCTCTGACCCGAAGCTCTGGCAATTATTTATATCCGGAGTGTACGGGGTTGAAAAAAAGAGCCCGAAAATGACCATAAATCGAGGGATTTTCGATTTATAGGAATGCGGTTGCAGGTTGCAAAATTCTTCGGTTCGGTTTTTAGTTGCGGTTTCCTGCTACGACTGATTCATTCATGAGGTAATTTATTTCGTTAGGCGGAGAAAACTGGTAATACCCATGTGAATGTGTCGAACAATTAACGTTATAATTTGAGATTTTTGAGAAAAATAAAGGAGAAGATTGGTATCAATTAGTTTTTTTGGAACCGGAAACACTGCTGAATGTCTTCAAAAAGTATTTGCAAATAGTGTCTGTAATGGTTTTCAGAGAGTGTTTTAAATATTGAATTGGGTTTTTCTATGAACTGAAAAGGAAAAATGTGGTACCCTTCCGAAGAAATAGGAAATCAACTTCAATAAAAG